AATATTATTGATAGAGAAATTATTATTTATATGAGATCACCTTAAATTATGTCAACCTACTGTTAGGTGTCATGTTGTTTAGACTTGGTTTAGTCCTGGTTTACTCCTGATTTTAGACCTGGTTTAGACCTGGTTTAGACCAGGTCTAGACCAGGTCTAGATCAGGTCTTTAGTTCTGGTTTAGTCGTGGTTTAGTCCTAGTTTAAACCTGGTTCAGTCCTGGTTTAGTCCTGGTTTAGTCCTGGATTAGTCCTGGTTTAGTCCTGGTGTTAGTTCTGGTTTAGAGGCGCACAGGAGGAGGTTTACGCGAGAAAACACGGTCCACACGCGGCGCACGAGACGGCAGTGTCCGAGCAGTAACTACGGAAGGAGACGTGGTCCGCGGGTTCTCAGGTTGATGACGATGATGAAGGTGTTTGTGTGTGTTTGTGTTTGTGTGTGTTTGTGTGTGTGTGTCCCCTCATGTGGCAGGTCACTATAGGACAGTAGTGCAGATATTATGAGTCTATGCAGGTTGTTTTCACCAGTGCCAATAGCTCCTGTTTCACATTTAAGTTGTAGGCGATTTTATATTTGTTTTTTTTTTTATATATATCTCACATCGGGAGAAGAATTTCCAAGACACAAATGCGTTTTTACCAATGCACTGCTGCTTCCACTGTGTGACTGACACCGCCAACTTTAACATGACGTTTCCATCGCTCTTATTGCGCGCGTTCTGTTTGGGTTTCCGGCAATGAGTGGAATTACCAAAATAAAAAAATAAATAAATGGGATGTAGCACAAAATGTGAAAACAGGAAAATACTGCCTTGTAATCCACTTATTTCAGCAAAGTAACTGTAATCCAATTACCACTCATTGAAACAGTAACTGTAACGGAATACAGTTACTCATAATTTGTACTCTGAATACGTAACGGCGGTACATGTAATCTGTTACTCCCCAACACTGTGTGTGTGTATATATATATATATATATATATATATATATATATATATATATATATATATATATATATATATATATATATATATATATATATATATATATATATATATATATATATATATTGAGGTGGCTCGGGCATCTGTTCCGGATGCCTCCTGGGCGCCTCCCTCGGGAGGTGTTCTGGGCATGTCCCACCGGGAGGAGGCCTCGGGGAAGACCCAGGACACGCTGGAGGGACTATGTCTCTGGGCTGGCCTGGGAACACCTCGGGGTCCCCCCGGAGGAGCTGGAGGATGTGTCTGGGGTGAAGGAAGTCTGGGAGTCCCTGCTTAGGCTGCTGCCCCCGCGACCCGGCCCCGGATAAGCGGACGAAAATGAATGGATGGATGGATGGATATATATATATTATATATGTATATGTATATGTATATATACACACACACACACACACACATATATATATATATATATATATACATATATGAGTGAAGATTTATAATCATCATCTAATTGGCCACGCCCTTCATCGCATGTCTTCTGCCAGGGTCTGAGCACCGAAGTTCACCCATTCAATAAAGTTTTCTAATAATTTCACCTGTGTCTGAGTCTTTCCAGGTTGACATACATTCAGTAGTTTCATGACACTCGTCACTTGACTAGAAACAGGTCTAAAATTAAACACATTCCCTTTAAGTGACTCTGTGCAACAACAGAAGTACAATACCATATTGTTTTATTACGTAATATTTATAGGTCCGTAACTGTAAGTCCTTCTCAGATTTCCTTTTACCTTATCCTTGATAAGGAAGCTATTGTCACAGCTGAGGTTCAAGGGGATGTTTATGTCTTTGCAGTAGCTGTAATTCTTACTGGCTTCCGGGGCACAGTTCACACTGCTCACACACACTGCAGAAAGAAAAAAAAAGCAGAAATATTATTGGGGCGTTCATTTAAAAGTCATATATTATTATGAATTTTTTATAATTAAAAATATTACTAAAATTTACTCAAGTTGTGTGAAAAAACAATGGATGTTTTGTTTCATTCACACATGTTTGGCTAACCATATATTATTAGTCTGTCTACATCTCCAAAGCTCAAAATGCTTTGTTCCACTTTCTGATGTCATAAAGTGGTAGTTTTCAAGTGAACAGCTTCTTTTACCTTTAGTTCAATAGATCGGCAATTCCAGGTCTGAAATGATCCCAATGATTCTAGTGGTGTGTGGAGTTTAAAAACACAGTGGAGCACTTCCTGTATTACCACATGACATCACAAGGTGGAACAGAGTGTTTTCTGTTTGAGAGAAGAATTCAGCCTAAATATACAGGGTTTGTGTGTTAAACATGTGTGAATGAAAAAAAATTCTACTTATGTCACTAATCAGTTATCATTATATTTTTAGATTTTACAAAACCTCTGCCTAGTTTTTTAAGTTTATAATGTGACACATATAGAGGTAATTCCATAACGGTTACCTAGCAACCATAATGTAAACAAGGAGCAAAATATTATTAGACTAATAAACACAGATGACAACACCCTTTACTTCATTTAACAAAATAAAGGTAACTGCAAGGACAATGTGTTCCCTTGTGCGTCTCTGCATTTTGAATAGAATTTTACGTTAAATCCAATCTAAACAACTTTATTTCTATAGCATATTTCATAAACAAAACAGTTGCCAAAATGCAGCACAATACAAATAAAACATACCTAATAGAACTATAAAATAAAGCTCTATTTAACGCCACTAGTCCTCAATAAGACAATAAAACTAGTCAAATCAAATAAGAGCAAGAATACCAATAAATAATAAAAAGGTAAAAAAAAACAAAAAACATACAGATAAATAAAAGACACAGAGGACCATACAACTCACGCGGTTAAAAGCCAGTGTAAAAGTGGGTGTTAAGAGGCAGAAACTATCTCAGTACATGTGCAGAGGCTGAATTTAGATTTTTTTTCTGATACAATTTTAAATGCGCATGACCGAAACAACAGATGTCACTGACTGACTCATTCACGTGATCTGTTTTATACTATAATTACTGAAGTATTCAGCAATGCAACTTTGCAAAAACTCCCTACATAATTCATTTATCACAACACTAGGACTTTTTGCACATCTTTTCAATGAATCAGCAAGGATAATAAAGTTATGCAAATGTGTGTAATTGCCATTGCTGCACGTGCGCTTATGGTTTCACCAGGAAGTCAGAAATCATTTGTGCTGCAAAAAGTTCAGTTTGTGCTGCTTTACTTCTTGAGCTATTAACAATTCTTTTCTATGTCAAATTAGAGTCAGTCAGCGCCAAGAAGCTTCAAAATGCTCTGTTGTTTGTGTTGCAAAAAGTTTCATCTGTGTGATTCTGGTTCTTGAGATCTGAACAGTTTTATTTTGGGCTGATGACGTCATCCAGCCCCTCAAAATGTGAAACAGCCTCAAAACAGCAGAAAATGATATGAAGTGTTTGTATTTTGTTTGTGCCATTTTGTGCTGTGACTGTTTTCATTGTGCAAGTATATTTCTAAAACAGACTTTTGCACAGCCTCAGATCATTTCTCTTCACTAGTTTTGTAGAGTTTTGTTAAAGCTGCTGCTGTCAGCTGAGCGGAAATTACATCATATAATTTAGTAAAAATAATAATGAATAATTTTACAAATATGCTTGCACAAATGAAAACAGTCACAGCACAAAACAGCACAAACCAAATACAATCATTTCTTATAATTTTCTGCTGTTTTGAGGCTGTTTTTGATTAGCTGGATGACGTCATCCGCCCAAAATAAAACTGTTAATATCTTAAAAACCAGAATCACACAAACCAAACTTTTTGCAGCACAAACGAAACACAAACGATTGACTAAATTTTGTGTTGTTTTAGAGCATTTTGAAGTTTCCTGGGGGCTGCTGAACCCAATTTGACCTGTAAAAGAATCGTTAATATCTCCAAAACTAAAACAGCACAAACGCAACTTTTTGCAGCACAAACAAAGCACAAACGATAGACATACTTTTTGTGTAGCTTTGCGTTTGGTGGGGGGCAACTTCACGTAGATCTCTCTTCGAATTTCCAAGATCACGTGAACGCGCAGCATCACCGCGGTCACGTCATCTTGCTTATCACGCAACTACTTTCTGTTTGGGCGCACCAAGTAACGTCTTGTAAAGGCTAAACTTAGATTTATATATACTAGCAGTTTTAGCAATGCATTCATCTTTGAACAAGTAAAATATGCGTTTAAACGGGACTTTCAGAATGGCTCTGACAAAACCTACCAGTCAGCACGAGAAACCGCACAGTCATGGCCATGCTGGGGATGCCGATAGCTGCCAGATGAAGCTCAAAGTTGGTTAAATGTGGTCCCACTAAATGCAGTCAGTGCTCATACTAACATAAGAAACGGTTGGGATGATTATCGGTGACAAAATAACTTAAAGAGATCGGGCAGTGGAGCGGGAGCGGCTTCCCTTTACAGATCCACGCTTCTCCTGTTGACTTCCGGCCAGATCACCTTGTGTGTTTTATTGGCAGTGGACAAACACCTTTTGATGCATTACCGCCACTAACTGACGAGGAGTATGAACTGGAAAACGTAATAGCTATATTAATAACAATAAATACTACTACTACTACTACTACTACTAATAATAATAATAATAATAATAATAATAATAATAATAATAATAATAATAATAATAATAACCTGCTTGGATATGTCATTGCTCTTTTTTCCGAATCTTATCACCAGTCTCTCCCCTTTTTTTTTTTCACTTTTTCACCTCAAAATTTACATTTGATTTCTTACTTGGTTTCTTTGCATTTTCATCTACAACTGCATTTCCTGTAACTCCACTGTGTGCTGGCAGCCATAAAAACACGATTACTGATCCCATCCTCCCCACCAGAGCTTGTTTCAATTCAGTTGGGTCTTTAGGTGCTCATACGCACAGCACAGACGTGTGTGTTTAATAGTTAATAGTATGTCCATGATTTCATTAAAATGAGTTTGAGCTCAGGATTTCAGGATAAGACACAAAAAAGAAAAAGAAAAGAAACACAACTTGTACATGCGCACTGCTCTGCCAGGGCGGTGCACATAGCGCTAGAAAAAGAGTGTTCTGTTCCTGTGTGCTCTTTCGATCGGAGTGCACAAAGTCCAACCTGCAGGATGTGGCTTGACGTTTTGTTTTTCTCACGTAAGTTGTTTTTTTTCCTCTGCATCTTGGGTTAATGTTGTCATAGTCAGTGGATCATGTGCATATTTTGTGTTTTCTAGTCGTGGGCCAGTTGTGGATTACTGCTGCAGCCTACAATGAGGACATTTTAGTTATAACAGCTTTACCTGATATGAATATAACTTTAAACTGCACAGCAAAGATGAAGCCTGGGCTTCAGTACCATGCAGTCCGCTGGTACAAGGTAAACTACGCCAGTTTATATATATATATTTTATTTCTGTTCTGCCTAAGCAGTGCGCTTACGTGACAGGGTGTTGTTTGCAATGAAGGCAAATATTTATTTTGACTCTCCCACTGGGTGCAGTGCAGCTGTGTCAGCTTGCATTGTGTTAAAGGCAATGTTATTATGCAGTGTTTGAAAGTAAACACTCAAATGTGATTTTGAATGCAGTTTGGCCTAAATATTATTATTATGCCCGTCAAGTCCATATGACGTCAGAGAAAGAAACCAATAGAAATAGAACAACAAAAATAACATTATTTATTATAAGGAATGTCAAAATCTTGTACTGTAGAAATTGTTTCTTGTCCCACCCCTAACTCTGAGGAGTATTTTATTTAAATTGTATTTTACTTAAATACAATTTTAGAAGCAGTATTTATAGGCTCCTTGTAACTGAGTACGTTTTAGCCATGCAGTTGTACTTTTACTTAGTACAAAGTTGCAGTAGCTCATTTTGCAACTTTGTACTTTTACTTGTAAACACTCTGTTTTTACAATCAAATTATTTTTTCAGTCGGATAATGTTACACTGTAAACAAATAAGAGGAACTTTTTTTTTTTTAATGGAAATGCAACTCTTGTCATTTCCTCTTTAATTCTGATGTTAGTGCACTTGTAATCATCATATAATATATTGAAATATGGGCAGCATAACAGACTAAACTTTTTATTTTTATTTTTAGCTTTTTTTTAAACTCAAATTAATTATATTACTCATCATTGATAAACCTTTCATATTCTTTCATAACAATTTCATGATACTTAATTTATGTTTAAAAAAATAAAAAATCCATCTTATTCAACCCTTAATACCACACCTTTTCTCTCAGCATCAGCGCTTTCTGGTGATAGTTATGCTTATAACACAAATTAAACTACTGGTGCTAAATGCTCTCTCATGCTCATTTATTTTAGTTATCAATTTGTTGAAAAAAAACCCCCAAAAAAAACAAAAACAATAAACACTTACAATCTCACTATGATCAGTATACCGTATCTTTGTTTCAGTCCAGTCAAGTTAATTTGCAGCTGTCTGACCAATAGGAACAGAGGAGCAATTTTATAATAAAACAGAAACAGATCACATTGCCAAGTGGTTTGCTGACAACATAATTGTTTGGGCAGCTGTCACAAGATTGTGGATTAGACTCCTGATCTGTCTGAGTGGTTATCTTGTCTCCTCCTCTCATAAAGATCAGAGCTGCCTTAGATGGAGGATATGATCTGTTGTGCATGTTTTGGGTTGATAAAAGAAACCAGAAACCCACCCAGACACCAAAAGGAACAGAAAACACACAGGCACAGAAAAGAAAGCACGAATGCTAGTTGCTCAGCCACCATGCTGCACAGGCTAATTGTGCTCTTGGGCAAGACACTTCACTCACCTGATTTGTATGTGGTGAGTTAGTCGGGACTTATTTCATAAGGGCAGCTGTGGCTACGCAACTATTTTTCACTGCACTAATTGGAGTGCAGTGAGGTGGAGGAGTATAAAGAGATTGCATGCCACAACTTGTGGATTACTTATTCTTTATCTTCGCATGTCTGAACAGTCTGTCATTCAAGATAAACCAGAAAATAATCTCTGTTTCACTGGAAGGAAGTAGGATGTATTTAGTTTAAAATTATTCAGCCAGCTGATTCCTGTTTATGAAACAATACATTTCATTTTCTCATACACTTTTTGTTATATACATGTGAGAAAAATAAAAGTAGAATAAAGTGTCATAGTGTTTATTTTGGCTGTACTTTGAGTACTCTGTCTGTTGTTGGTAGTAGCAGCTGTGTGTATATTAGTGTAGCTTGTTCTTGACCACACAGCTCCACTGCATGTGAGCATTCAAATACATTCAAAGCATCATTCAAACCACCATTCAGACCACGAAGCTTTCCATACAAGGAGAGGACCAGAGACAATGTATACTGGTGTATGGGGGAAGAATGAATCAGACGTTATTTTATCTCCCTTGTCGTCATGGAGCAGGTGGTTTCTGTAATGTCATGAAATATAAATACAACATGAGCTCACTGTGTTAAACTGTGTTACACCAGTTCTGAAATAGTGAACAATATTCTTTGTGCACATATGTTAAATGTGTTGCTAACCTACTGAAACTGCTCATAACCAGGGATAGGCCAAAACCAAACAAGAACTAAACCAGGATTGAGAAAAAAGCCTGGATTTATCTCAGGATTTGGAGAGTTTGGATATTGAACGAACACAAGATCATGTTGAGCAGGAATCATGATCAACAAAGTCAAAGAAAGAAAACGGAATTCAAATATAAAAGACCAGACTCAAGGACCAAACCTGGATCAAGACCACATGGGAAACATTTTTTACCCTCTGAATTTGGCAAAATCTGAGTTATAATTTAAAGTAAAACAGCATTTAATTTAAACTAAATAAAACCTCCATCACCTTCGTCATGAACTCCTTTCTGTTCAGTGGCTTTGTTCCACCCACCATCAAGCTCGCTGCTATTACCCTCATTGAAAACGGCAAATATGACTCCATTTTCTGATCTATAAGGTTTCCTCATCAAAAACATACCCGGACATTTCCTATCTCTACTGAACTGAAGGTAAAAGGAGCTGTTAACGTGAAAGTTACCACTCCATGACATCACAATTTTGAACTTTGGAGATGTAGACAGACAAAAGTCTCACATAAAGGATTACTCAAACATTATTCAAACATGTGTGAATGAAACAAAACACAACTCACAAACAACTCCAAGTATGTTTTTGAGGACGTAACCACAATAACATGGCTTAAAGCTCACAAGAGTCCATTTTGCTTAATATACAACCTTGAAAAAGAAAAACCTGGACTTGACCCTAACCTGTCATTTCTCCAAACTTATAGAACGTACCGTCACCACTCAAATGAAATCTCACCTCACAACCAATAACCTGTTTAAATGTTTCCAGTTGTGTTTCTGCTCCCACCACAGCACTGAGACAGCCCCTCCTCTGAGTCAAAAAACACCTCCTGCAGAGTTTCCTTGAACCCAGTGACACTGAAAGACCTTGAGACCTCCTCTCTGTGGGCCGAGCAGGCTGTTTTTGACCCTTTCCTCATTTAAAGTTTGTTTGCTGCAGGAGACCGGAGTCCCTCGTCTGAGCGGGCTGGTGTCCAAAGCGCTCCCTGCTGGTCAGATGAGGTGGTACGTGGACGCAGACACGAGGATTTCTCTGGAGGAGGGGACTCTGAACCTGCAGCTGCCCACAGTGACCTGCTCAGACCAGGCAGTGTACCAGTGTTACCTGGCTGCACCTGTGGGCGAACAGAACAGAGAGGGACGTGTCCGCCTCAGTGTCACAGGTAAAACATGAACAATATACATTTATAAACATGTAAATGCAGTTATCAGTATTAGTATTATAACATAAGTATAAGTGTAAGTGTAATAGTTGGGGCCAGGTTATGGATACCTGTAGAGGATTCTGTCTGTCCTCTGTGTTGTTCTGACTAGAGACCAGCTGCAAAACAAATAAACACTTCTCTCACATAATTTCCTCAACTCTTTTCCAACAGATGTGATTTAAAAGCTGTAGTAGGCGCCTCCATGTTTTTTATTGCTCTATTTCATGTTTTGGTCATTTCTCAGACTAACTTTTAGCGCACTCTGGTGGCTGTTTAAGAGAACACAGCCTTGACATTAGAAACATTTGGAAGTATAAATGCAGTACTGCACATGGAACACACCGATCAGTTTACAAATGAAAGTGGAGCATAAATGAGCTTTCAGTGGAGTTACGGTGGGGGTTGTCTCTCAGTTTAGCAGCGTGGCAGTGACAGTCTGGCTGAACGAGCTCCTGTAGCTGACCAGCACATTGTGGAGCATGTGGGAGGAGGAGACCACAATAATCCTGATTTTGGACACTCCAACATACTGACACTACAGTCAGAGAGTCCAGCTCCTCCCCCACAACATGGCTGCCTTCTTTATAATCTTGAGTCTATTGGTGTGATCAGGGATCTGTGATGATTGGACATATATGTGGTGGTTTTCACTTTGAAGTCTAGACTGTGGTAGACTGGTATCACTTCTCACCCTGAGAATCTGGGGCTGAGTTATTGGACTTTTCCATACTCACATTTATAGCTGTTATTCTTCACAAAAATCTCATTTCTAACTTTTCAGTGTCTAAACATGAGTCGGAAGGCATACAGGGTGTTTTTAACTTTTTCCAGTAAGAGTTGAAATAAAAAATGGTGGTGTTTTTTTGTGTTTTGTGTCCACCTACAGACATACAGTCTGTGGGTGGAACACACGAACAACACACGCCTGCTTTCCTCATGACTTTGTGATAAATAAATGTGATAAATGTGACTTAATGTTACGAAGTTCAAATTATGCTTTGAGCAACATTTTACAATGTTGTAAAAGTCTGAACTAAACCTGGACTAAACCTGGACTAAACCTGGACTAAACCTGGATTAAACCTGGATTAAACCTGGACTAAACCTGGACTAAACCTGGACTAAACCTGGACTAAACCTGGACTAAACCTGGACTAAACCTGGACTAAATCCTGTCAGCCAGTGTCTTCTACATTCTGTTAGACTCCAGAGGGTCTAGAATCAGACCACAGAGCATTACTTTGTATCACGTGTCTCTCAAACATAGTACATCATAAACCTCTCTAAAGAACAGTATCATTCAGAACAAAATGTATCACTTCTTTTACCCGACATAAATAAGAGTTTGTTGCTTCCACTGTTGATTCTGTAAAAATCAGCACTGTTTCTCAGTCCTGTGTTTTTTGGGGTTTTTTTTCCATTAACATAAATCGCCCGTCAGTGTAGTTCCAGACCCACTCGACATTGTAAAGTTATGACTGGACTGGTAACTCTAAACCAGGTCTAAACCAGGTCTAAACCAGGTCTAAACCAGGTCTAAACCAGGGCTAAACCAGGTCTAAACCAGGACTAAACCAGGACTGAACCAGGGCTAAACCAGGACTGAACCAGGGCTAAACCAGGATAAAGTAAAATATGTTCATGAGGATTTCATATAAATGTTGTGTCTTGGCCTGGAATGTTCCACAGCTGCTTTCATTCAGTTACAGATGTTTTAATGATAAAGACTGAGTGGGAGCACCTCTCCACAGATCTGACCTGTAACTTGGCCTGGTGGTCACCTACTTGTCTCCGTGGAGATAGATTTGTTGAATAATTACACAATAATAATTGTGGCCAAATGGTCTTGTCAAACTCTGATGTCGTCAGCTCAGGACTGGACCTGGATGGGAGAGCTCTGGGAATACCAGGTGCTACTGTGGGACAGCAGTGAGAAAAACTATAGTTGTGTCCATAGGCAAGACGCTTCACCATATAGCAGTGCTTCTCAATTATTTTCTGTCATGCCCCCCCTAGGACGAATAAAACATCTCGCGCCCCCCCCCACCCCCACCCCACTAACATCTCCATGGAAACAAGCAGGTGGCAGACCCTCCACATGAAAAGTTACATGGTGCACCTTTTACAGGGCCCATATTACACTGTTTTCTGATCTCTGTATGTAGTTTCCTCATCACACACACACCTGGAGTTGTGTTTTGTTTCATTCACATGTTGAACACACAAACCTGCACATTTAGACTGAGCTCGTCTCTCTTCAAACAGAAAATGCTCTGTTCTACCTTGTGATGTCATGTGGTGATACAGGAAGTGACCACTGTGTTTTTAAACTTCATGCACCTTCACTAGAGTTGGATGATTTCAACCCTAAAATGAAGTATCTGTACTGAACAAAAGGTAAAAGGATGTCATCTAGTGGTAGAACACACAAAACACATCTCCAGGTGTCAGCTTTTGAGGAGGTAATAACATTCTACTATGGCTCACAAAGCTCACAAGAGTTCATTTTGCCTTCACCTCTTAGGATCTCTGATTAAACTGTTTGTGTGGTGTGTTTCAGGCTGCCCCACCCCTGCCCCCACACCCGGCTTCATCCCGGACGAGGAGACAAATATAGTGGTGTGTCGTTCGCTGGGAAGTCCTCTCATCCTGTGTGGAGCTGTGGGTCTGCTGCTCTCTGCTCTCCTCCTTTTTCTGCTCAGCTACGTAAGTTCAGCTCCACCTCAAACAAACACTACTAATACTGTTAAT